AAACACGATTTTATCTATAAATAAAGTCTTCTTCCAGTTATCATTAATGTGTTTTCTTACCTATTTCACACGTTTTTCTTTATGTGCAGTAGTAAGTATGGGAATTACAATTGGAAGACTTTTTTCAAAGCTCATAATTATCAAATATCTTCCTATAGTTCTATATAAGACTTCAATACTTGTTTTTGATAATTTTGTAGCTAGAGTTCTCGTCGAGAGAGAGGAATCCTGAAGAACGTACTTTAATTTGTGAGATGCTTTGGTTGTCATTTTTTGAGGCCGGCGGTTATTATGTGCACATTTTGTTATATCAGTTTCTTTTAGTCATTTTAAACTGTCATATACAGTTGAGGAGGCTATATTGGTCCTTTTTCAAATTTCCTTGGCATTCCTGATGCCTTTAATCCACAAGAATTCTATCATTTGGTGCTGGGCCTCTCTCTCGCTATTCATTATTCGTGCAAAGAAAAAATATTTCTTTTTTTAATATCAGTATAAATAAACGTATCATAGTTTAAGCCACAAATCTTAATTTATTTATTATTTTAAAAAATATGTATATCCATATATAAATAATGTTAATCACGCGAATTTTTTTCTGTGGAAATTTTTTCCGGTTTTCAATATCTCACACTGTAAATTCACGTATATTATTTTATTGAGAAGATAATCATATTTTTATTATAAGTAAAATACGTATAAATTATCTTATTGAAAAGATAATCATATTTTTATTAGAAATAGCCCTCACATATATCATCTTATTGAAAAGATAATCAGTCATATAAACTCTTGAAGCTATAGAAGTTAATAACTACTGTGAACACAGTTATTATTACTATTTTAAAATAATTATATACGCATAATCTTAAAATGGTAACAATATTATCCTAGACAAATATTATATATAAAGTTATTAATCTATCATGAAATAATCTTTTCAAGGAGTATCAAAAATGATAATAATACAGATATTTGTGAAGAATAGGTAGTGATTGTTGATGAAATAACTAATGATATGAATTCATCTTTAATATTAGTATCACTTTTTTCAAAGTCTCTAAAATCATTAAAGTTTATTATTATTAACTTACAAATTTAAAGTTATTAATTATCAAGTGCAGAATCAAATGAGAAAGAAAGGAAAAATAGTATTTAATTTATGATATTTTAATCTATAACATTGATATTAATAATATTTTGATTTATAATAATTTCATTTTGATTAGTAATATTTTGTTTTATAGTAATTTTAGTTTGGTTCATAACATTTTAATTTATGGTAATAGTTTCATTTTGGTTTGTGATGATTTGATTATCATTATTATTATATATAATTTATGTAATTGATATGGTTGATTCTTGACATGAAAAATTAGTTTGAAATTTTTCATTAATAGGATCATAAGAATAAAAGATATAACTTAATATTTTTTTTGATATTTATTTATACTATTATTATTTAATAAACATAATTATATAATTACATTCAAGTTGATTTATCATTATTATTTAATGAATATAATTGTGTAATTATATTTAAGTTTATTTATTATTATTATCATTATATGTATTTATTTAGTAATAATATCTATATTTAGAAATAATTAATCATATAAAAAATCTTTATTCAGTTAACTGATTAATTGGTAATTAATTAGTTAAGGGTTAATCAGTTAGAATCACTACTAGTGATATTGGTCATTATGTAAAAGATTATCTCTGGCTTATAATTATAACAAGATTATCAAAAAGAAGGTAGAAACTTCATCTAAATGCTATACTTATATATACTACTCAGCAAGTGATACTCTTGATCACTAATCTCATTGATCTAGATTCAAGCAAGAAGTATAAAAATAATAATTCTATTAAAGAAATCTTAAATAAATATTACTCAATATCTGAAGAAAATAAAATAAAATAAAGAAAATAAAAAAGAACTCAAAAAATAATTAACAAATTTAATAATAGTTGAGAAGTTATCTTTAATTATAATTATTTAATAAGATTAAATAAGAATTACTTCTTCTTTTAGACTTGATAAATCAATTTAACTCTGATAATGAAATACTTGAAGTTAATGATATAAAGCTGAATAATGATGAATATACATACTTAATATTTGTTCTTTTACTTGCTGCATCTAAAAAAAGTTTCAAAAAGCAAATGCATTCTTTTTGTTACAGAGAAGATTTAGGATATACAAAATAATGAAAAAGACAAACTTAATAAGAGATAGCAGTAGGAACTGGATTATTTTTATAATTTTTTAAGGATAAGAAAGAAGATGAGCTCTCAATATTTTGATAGTATTTATACTGATAATAAGGATGAAAATAAGAATGAAAATAATGCTACCAGAAAAAAAATGTTATTTATAAATATGAAGAGACAATTTGCAAAGTTATTGACTTTATTGAAATATTGATTAAAAAAGAAACACTCTTTAATATTTAAAAGATTCAATATATAGCTATCTTGTATTTTTTTTGATTTGTATTGAATAATATAAAAAAAATAGAAGCAAGTTAAACAGTTTCAAATATATTTAATGATGGTATATGATATGCAAGATTAATTTGAAAATAGATAAATATTTGTTTGAAATATATATTTTTTATTCTTTATTTTTTTTTGAATTTAATTTTTTTTAAATAAAAAGATCAATTCATTCTATTAAGTTTGCAAGAAAAGTTTTTTTCAAAAAGTCTTTTATATGATAAATTTATTTTGCTTCAAATAAGTATCTATTTTCATTTCCAAAAATTCAAAACAAATTCTATGTTTGTTAAGAAATATTTTGAAAAGAATATTCTTTCTTACATTAATATCAAGTTAATACAAATATTTCTATCTGAACTGCTTGTTGTTGGATACATATTATGAATATTTATTTCTAATATTACTAAAAAGATATTTATATTAATAATCATAAATGATCTGATTAGTGATAGGAGCTGTAACTAGTCATAACTCTGTTATAATTTTCTGATTAGCTACTGCAACTCTATCATAATTCTCTGATTGACTATTGTAAGTTACAACTAGTTAAGAAGTTATCTTTAAATCTGATATTATTACTTATCATAAAAAATTTCTGCAAAAGATTATAGAACTTGATTACTTGATAAGAATTATAAAATATAAATTTATTCAAATCTAATTGAAGAAAAAAAAGAACATATTTGAATAATACATGATAAATTAGTTTTTTATACTTATAATAGATCTTATGCTATATGAGATTCAGAAGATAATCATTCTTTGTACAAAAAAGAATAGGATCAAAATATATATGTGAGTAATTTTTAACTGAAATAATTGGTTTATTTAAGAATAATTTAGGAGAAGCAAAAATCATAATAATTTTAGGAGCTAATCATAATAAATATTAGAATAGTATTAAGCTTATTGAGTAGATTAAGTATGTAATAGATATTTTTGAGTAAACATATCCAGAATATATTGATATTTTTGTTTTTGACAATACTATCTTTTATATAACTTTTGTTAAAGATGTATTAGTTATATTAAAATAAATCCAAGTCTAGAAGAATCAATATTTAAAATACATAATACAATATAAAATAATTAGTGATAATTAATAATTATTAAATATGATTATATGATCTATAATAAAAAAATAAAAATAAGTATTAATCTTTATGATCAATCAAAAGAAATTCAATGAATTCTTTATAAAAAAGAATTATAATGAGATAAAATAATATTAAATTACAATATATATAAAAATAAAGAGTTAAATTCAGATATTATTAATTATTATATCTGAAAATTAATAGTAAATTAACCAGACTTTTTGGCATAATATGAAAGAATTCAATATATAATTAAAATGTGAGAATATAAGATAATTAATTTTTCTTAATATTTAAAGTAATTTAATTTTCTTAATACTTAAAGATAATTTATTTTTAGATTATATTTTATTTTAAATTTCATTCAGAATTTAATTATATTGAAATGTTCTGGGATACAGCAAAAAGATATACATGTATAAATTATGAGTATTCATTATTAAAATTAATAATAATACTTTTAAAAGCATTTGATTTTATTTTATTAGAAATAATTCATACTTTTGCAAGATTATTATTTAAATGAATGAATTTATATTAATATGAATTAACAGGTAATATTACAAAATATACAGTTAAAAAATATAAGTCATATTAAAATATTAATGAAAAAATTATAAATAATATAAATATATTTTTAAACTAATTACTTTTTGTTAATAAATCACGTGATTATTATATTATATAATCAATGAAAATTTGGCCACTAAAAAATTACATAGATGATTTATGCTATCCTTCACTATAAAGCTATATGTAATTTTCTCTCAAAAAATCTCTCTTTAAATTTTGCCTGAAACAAAAATTCTCATCATAAATATTTGAATCATTCTATAAAAAATAAATATCAGCCCCTATATCATCATTTTTGAGGTCAATTTTTAGGGGAGTTGCTTATTTTCGAGCCCTTTAAATAAAAATAAATATATCAACGACTAATGATCCTTATTGAGACGATCATTTTGGGGGGTTGCTTATTTTAGGGGGTTGCTTATTATCGGGACTTTACAGTAATTAAAAAAAAATCGTCCAATATTTCTTTCACCATGATTGTTTTTTAGTAAGCTCGTGTGCTTCTAACACGCCAAGTTTTTTTGCAATAATAATTCCAACTTTCTGACTTTCTGTTAATTCTTTTCCATGGGACATTATGTGGCAAAATTTAAAGGGCGATTTTTTGAGAGGAAATTGCGCGTAGCTTTATAACTCCTGGATGCGTCGCACGAAGATGAGATTTGTTTTGGTTATAGATCGTCATTATATGTAAATACAAGATCTAATGATATAAAGATATAAATCAATTTAAAAACGCGCAAAACATCCAATATTTCTTTCCCCCCGTACGTCATTGAATCGCCAAGTTAGCCGAAGAATCACTTTTCGCATTAAATAAAAGGCATGAATCCAAAGTATCAGGCTCGTTTGTTTAGTGCCAGTAGGGTTGGTATATCGCGTAGCGCTGGCATATCGAGCTCGAGCACATGCATGTACGAAGAAATGAACTCGTTTCATTCGCGAAGTAAAAACAGATTCGCTTATTCAATAGTCTTATCAAAACAGTTATTTAGATTTTGCTATTTATAATACCGACCTTCAAGATCCGAACATCTATCGCGTCAAAACTACTGTCAAACGATCTCACTGACAAAGACTAATGAACTTGCTATCAGGGGCCTATTTTGTCGAAGGGCGAAATAAAACGTTAGCAGGTGAGCGATGGAGCGAGGAAGCGACGAAGTTAGCAATCAAAGCCAGAACTGGTAAAGTCAAAACTATTTGATTCTATGGCTATTTATTAGAACCGGAGTAAATGGAAAAAAAATACATAAATAAATAAATGATGAGAATAAGACCAAAACTTCAACGCAGTTAACTAAGAAAATGAAACAAACCAAATGATGAGCGGAAGACCGGGAAAACGTCGGTCTCAGCGAAATGTGAAGATTGAAATGCCCTCCGGCGAGAACGGAGTTCGAGGTCCCGGAGGGACTTGAGTATAGCGAATTTGATGATCCGTACGCGAGAAAGTTTTACCGCTAACGGGACCAAGGCGACCCTTACTAGTAAAGAAACAACTGTTGAACCAAAGATACTAGGATAATCTAGGAGAAAATGAAATAAAATTTAAAAAATATGAAACGGGATTTCGGGAATAGAAATAGAGCATTATGTCGAGATATTGGCACGATACTTGCAACGATATAGGTTATCGGGCGTAAGTACGCAAAATTAAGAATTATCACAAAGATTTTGCCAAAGCTGCTTAGGAATATAGAACAAAGCAAAGATTTAAATTAGAGAAAGTGGATATTGAATCATTAAAAAGTTACGAGCGAAAATAAAAGCCTGATGACTGAGCGACGTCACAAGTTCACTTTGTCTGGTTTTGTTGCAGCACGCCCCATATAAAAACATGCCTGCTAATCCTTTTCCAATGTATATAGTTATTTGTGAACAAATATGCGTATTTTTATTAACATTAATACATAATTAGAATTTTAATAATGTAGCAAAATTTTTTAAAAAGTTATTGTACAAAAAGTACTACAAATTTTATATAGAATAATATATAGTACCTTGATCAAATAGGAAGTATAATAATAATAATAATAATAAAGATCAAGAATTAAATAGATCCAAGAAGCTATATATTATCCTTCCATGTGAAATCGGGAAACTGCCAATCAATAGTTGAATTATTCATACTACATAGAAAAACAAACAACCCGAGAATTCAGAAGAGGAAATCAGAATAAATATTTTTTAAAAGTAATTAATAATAATAATAATAATAATAATAATAATAATAATAATAATAATAATAATAATAATAATAATAATAATAAT